TATTCCACTGAGCCATCTCCCCAGCCCTTTAAATAGCATTTTCTTTCTTTTTTTTTTTTTTGGCAGAATTGGGGATTGAGAGCCTGAGAGATGGCTCAGTAGAATAAGCGCTTGGCTGGCAAGTGCAAGGTCCTGTGTTCAAACCCCGGTTCCACAAAAACAAACAAACAAACAAAAAAAGAATTGGGGATTGAACTCAGGCCCTTGTGCTTGCCAGGCAGATGCTTATTCTATGGAGTCATCTCCCTGGCCCCTTTATTACATCTTTTAAAAGTGAGGTTAAGCTGGGCATAATGGTGCCTTCCTGTAATTCCAGGACTCTGGGCAGCTAAAGCAGGACAATCATAGGTTTGAGCCCAACCTGGACAATGTAGAGACTTAGAGAGACCATGTTGCAAAATACAAAAAGATAAAGATGAGGGTTGTAGCTCAGTATACAGGCCCTGGGTTCAATTCCCAGTACTACCAGAAGAAAAAAAAAATGAATTTCAGTTTTTTTTCCTGGTGCCGGGGACAGAATCCAGGCCCTTGTACACGCCAGGTAAATGCTGTACAATGGACCTATCTCCCAGCCCTGGAGTGGAATTTTTATCACAAGATTTTGGAGAAACTAAGAAGTCTTTAATTTATTTCTTCCTGTGACTCGAGGGCATTGAATAAGGGCAGACACTTTATTTTTTTTGCAGGTGAAACATTCACTACAAGGGCATTTTTTTTTTAACACGGGTATTGAGAAAGTATAATTTTTTTTTGTGACTAAATTAAAATTGTGCTGTGTTTTAAAATTATGCTTGACAGATGTGTTTGCTTCCTAGATCTGAACCTCAGTATGATCACACAGGGGGATCCCACCTCTCTTTGCCTTTCCCCAAACTCTTGCATCTTAGGTAAGTTTGTTTCTGTTTTTTTAATGGTGCTAGGGATAAACCCAGGGCCTCGTGCATGCTAATCCAGCACTGTATCCCTGAGTAACACCCAAGTCAGTTGTGTGTGTGTGTGTGTGTGTGTGTGTG